AATGGCCTCTCCTAAACCTGGCTCCAGAGATAATCAACAAAGTAATTCTCAAAATATCAGATTTAAGGCAAAGTAAGAAAGGCGCTTTTCTTTGAGAGACAAAATCTCAGTAGGGAACCCCTACTCAGCAGCCATATGATCAGGCCTGAGTTCTTGGCATACAGCCACCAGTAATTCAGTCATACAATATAAACTATTTAATTTACAGTAAAACATTGAGCTCTAACTTAAAACAAGTGAAATACCACCAATAAATCATTACCATGCACCATGCAATGTCTAAACACTTGACATGCAATATTAATTATCTCAAAAAAGGCGAAGAAAAGAAGAATGAAAACTTTAGATAAATGAGAAAACATAAACAAAATTTAATATATAGGATACGGTTTAATATAAATTCTGGAGAGCAGAAAGAAATTTTAAGACAGGCAGAATAGGACCACAATGTAATAGTCAACGAAAGGGAACTTTCATTCATTAAGTAGCAACTATAGGTTACTTTGTCAGGCTAGTAAAGATAAATCGAATGCTTTAGTTAAAGAAAAAGAACCAATGAAGAATTAGATCAAGTCAGGAATGAGAAAACATGTAATTCTGCTTTTGAGTGATATCAGTGAAGAGTGAGAGTATAAAGAGATGGAGAAGATGGTTTTGAATGGAAAGTAACAATGGGACCACGAAGAGACCAGTAAGAGGTTTTGTACAGTGACCTCACTGCTGCCATTTAAGGTAGCAGTAGGACAGCAGGATGCACCTTATTTGACTCCTGGGAATCAGGCTCTCTGGTTTCTGTGCAGTGCAGATTGTTCCTCCTCAGTCTCCTCTAATGGATGAATTTAATGCCTTCTAAAGGTGGTACTGTCCCAGGACTACTCTCACTTATATACAACCACACTCTAGAAAAGGGATTGGCAAACTATGACCACAAGGCAATGGCCCTTGAGCTAAGAACATTTATTACGTTTTTAAAGGGAAAAAGATGGAAGTAGCAGTAGGGAAGAGGAAGGAGAAAGAAGAAGAGGAATAAATAGGAAGAAAAATGAACAGCAGCAACAGCAACCAAGACCATATGTGGCCCATTAAGCCTAAGAGGTAAATCACTCTGAAAATGTCAAAGAAAAAGGAAAAGCATTATAGTGAGAGTAATGTATGGAGGAATGACAAGGTAACAGATGTGGGCCAAGTATCCCTCGTTATTTCCAAAGGTCTGAGGCTAAAAGTAGAAATTTCTTAAAAATATTGCAAAGGTGACAAACTCTAAACCAATAATCTAAGTTCTAATTTCCTCTGGCTTTCATCGGCCTTGAACTCACTAACTCACCTGGGTAGCACTGCCTTGGGAATCCTTTCTCTAAGATCCAGGGCTCTTCTCCTTGCTCTATCTTGAAGATCACTTCTGGCTTAGTAACACAATGCCCTGTTAAGAGAAAATAACACAGGACTGGGGCTAAAGAGCTTGGCTTCAGGGACACTGAAAAAATGATAGGGAAGAAAGGTATAGCTCCAGGAGCTCAAGGAAGGTACCCAAGTGAACCAATCCCTGAGGAGGGAAGAGGACGTTCTTTATGGTGGCCAAAAGGTTATTAGTCATCTCAGAGCCTTGAATCTCAAGCTTCAAATCAGAAAACTACAGGGCATTCATATGTTTGAGCAACTAAGAAATGCACGCTATTGGCAGCCATGTGGAAAAAAAATCCTTACCTACTGAGACAAGGTTGCTGTAATTTTCCAGGATCACATCTCTGTATAATATCTTCTGAGCAGGGTCCAGAAGAGACCACTCTTCCTGGTTGAAGTCGACACATACATCCGTGAATGACACTTGTTCCTGTAATAGTATATTCCTTTTCTATATGAAGTAGTCAGAACTAAATAATATAGAAAAGATTTAAGAGAACTAATCTCTTTACAGTTTACTGAAAAATGACATATAGGATACCTCCCTTTGTGCTATACTATATAGAATAATACAAAATATCTTGTACAAATTGAGTTTCCACTAAGGGCTTAGAATTGTCCTCACTGCTGTGAATGCTACTGATGAAAACAAAATGGTTCCTGTTCTCAAAGTGCTTATGACCTGATAAGAATAAATACATAGTCACAGTTACTAAATTGGACATTGTAGGAGCTAGCAGTGTGTACAAGGTAGACTGGAGTTACAGAGGAAAAGTCAGTTCTTTCACATTATCTTTTACATTATCAAGTTTCATCAAGGAAGTTAACACTTTCAGTTGTTAAAATAAATAATGGGATTGAAATGAATATGGCACAGGCTCTGACCACATTCAACACATGACTGATTAAAGTAACTGCCCTGCAGTCTACCTGCCCATCAGAGAAAAGAATGAATCCTCTCTGCTTGAAGAGATCATCTTCTGGAGCCTTTAACAATTTGTTTTGTTTTTAAACACAATATTTGGCATCCAGCAAAAAATTCCATGGTATGTAAAGAGACAGGGACCAAGAAAAAAAAATAGATTATAAAAGCAGACATATAGGTGACCCAGACACTGTAATTAACAAACAAGAACTTCAAAATGAATTATGATTAATATGTTCCATAAAACAAAGGAAAATATGAAAATAAACAAGAAGATGGCAGAAGTTCAACAGTGTATAGTATGTGTGTTGTACAGAAAAAGGGTTAATAGAGTAGGCCTGAAACTGCTATCCTTTGAAAGGTCTGCTGCAAGAGATCATGCTTGATTGGCATCTGGAAACTTGGATTTCAGGGGGGTTCTTATAATTTTCTGATAAGAATGGCTCACTGAGCCTGAACTGTTTGTGTAAACAATATGGTTTATGCAAAATATGTGCACTCCTTCTGGGAGTCTAGAATTTTGGTATGTGTCAGGCCAAGAGTACCTATGTGACCAGCCCCTGATCAAAATTCTGGGCATCGAGTGTCTACTGAGCTTCCCTGGTACACATTTCACATGTGTTGTCGTATGTCATAGTTAGAGGACTTAAGTGTGTTCTGTGAGACTACACTGGGAGAAGACTCTTAGAATCTTGCTGATTTTGCTTTGTCTCCTTTCACTATATGCTGAGTCATCCTAGGGAATCATTAAACCTGGGTATGGTCTTGACCTATTATACATGTATACACAGACACACACCCTAAACAATAAAATACACACTCTATCATTTTATTTGTACTCACATGGAACACCAACATAGACCATACATATATACATATAGCCATAAAATGGGCATTCTAGAGCTGAAAAATAAAATATCTGAAATTAAGAGCTAATTAGATGGGTTCAAAATCATATTAGGGAAAGAAAACAAAATCTGAAACATGTATGCATCTAACAAAAGACTGTCAAATATGTAAGGTAAAAACCGATAGAACTGAAAGGAGAGCTTAGAAATCTACATCACAGTTGGAGACTTCAACTCCCCTCTGTCAGTACTGATAGATCAGCAGGCTGAAAATCAGTAAGTATATAGGTAACCTGAACAGCACCATCAATCAACTTGATCTAACTGACATTTATAAAATATTCCTCACCCTAAACAATAAAATACACATGCTATCATTCTATTTGTACTCACATGGAACACTGACCAACATAGACCATATTCTGGCCTATAAAACACACCTTAACCAACTTGAAGCAATAGCTATCATACAATGTATGTTTTCAGACCACAATGGAATTGAACAGAAACCAGTAAAGCAAGAGATAGCTAGAAAATCCCTCTAAAATTTGAAAGCTAAACAATATACTTATAAATAATCTATAGGCCAAAGAAGTCTCAAATTTTTAAACATTTTAAATGAAATAAAAATGAAAATACCAGTGTTCAAAATTTGTGGGATGCTGAGAAAGTAGCCCGTATAGGGAAATGTATAGCATCAAATGCATATTTTTTTCTCCAAAAGACCCTTTTACAAAAATGAAAAGACAAGCCACAGACTGGAAGAAAATATTTGCAAAATACATGT